TTCTTTCTTTCTTTCTTTCTTTCTTTCTTTCTTTCTTTCTTTCTTTCTTTCTTTCTTTCTTTCTTTCTTTCTCTTTCCTTTCATTATTTTCTCCCTTCCTTTATTTTCCTTCCTGCACTCCTTCCTCTTTCTTTCCTTTCATTATTTTCTTCCTTTCTTTTCCTTTCTTTTCCTTCCTCCCTTCCTCTTTTTCTTTCTTTCTTTCTTTCTTTCTTTCTTTCTTTCTTTCTTTCTTTCTTTCTTTCTCTTTCCTTTCATTATTTTCTCCCTTCCTTTATTTTCCTTCCTGCACTCCTTCCTCTTTCTTTCCTTTCATTATTTTCTTCCTTTCTTTTCCTTTCTTTTCCTTCCTCCCTTCCTCTTTTTCTTTCTTTCTTTCTTTCTTTCTTTCTTTCTTTCTTTTCTTCCTTCCTTCCTTTCTTTCTTTCGTGTTTTGGAGACCAAGCCAATCTCTTCTCTGTGACAGTCCCTCAAGTTCTGGAAGACTGTTATTATATCACCCCTAGTCCTCCTCCGTGTCTCCTTGTCTTTGTTAGACAAGAAATATCTAGTTCCCTCAATCATTCATCAATGTATTTAGCCTCCAGACCTCTTATCATCTTTGTTGCTCTTCTCTATGCTCCCAACTATTTTTGTTTGTTTGTTTGTGTCATAGTGACCAGAATTGGAAAAAGAAAATAATTTAAAGATTAAATTTAAGAAGTATTGGAATAACCCAGTCAATGTATTTAGTCTTTGGGGGAGTATAAGACACAGCAAGGTTTTGAAGAGGCCAATTAAAAAAAAAAGTTTTTGCACTCTGCAAACCTACCAAAAATGGCCCGTTTTTTTGCAAATCGGGCCTGTTTTTTTTTTTAAAGGGCATGAATAGTCTTTAGGAGGCTTATAGGGTGCTCCTGCCCCCCATGAGCAAAAAAATTGCCCGTTTTGGGTCAAAAAAAGAGCATGCATAGCCTTTTGGAGGCTTATAGAATGCACCTGAGAGCTGGGGGGGGGGGGAATTGAGCAAAAAACTGCCCGTTTTTTTTGTTCATTTCTGCCCTCTCCAGCCCCCAGGACTCTGAAAGCCTCCTAAAAGCTATGCACAAAAAATGCTATATTCGGTGTATAAGACACACCCAGATTTTCAGCCTCTTTTTTGTGGGGAGAAAGGGTGCGTCTTATACTCCAAAAATATGGCAATTACTCTCTCCCATCCTGCCTTATCTCTTGGTCACCTCCCTGTCCATAAAGATAAGGGTGGTCCTGAACTCCAGGGCATGGGGGGGGGTGAACAAGCGTAACTCAAAGCCATAGTCCCTTGAGAAATTTCCAAACGGCCCCTTTAATGACTGCCTGTCTTCTTTCCTTTGCAGAAAGGAAGGCTTGGCCTTGGAGATAGGTGGGGCCCTCTACTTCTTTATCTTCATCACCTTTGGGGCCTTCATCTTTGCAAATCTGCTGGTGGCTGTGGTGACAACCAACTTGGAACAGTCAATGCATGCTTATCAAGAGAAACAGCAGCTGAAAACTTTCTCTACCCTCGGAACCTTCGCTGCCTTTGAAGTGAGTGTGTAAGGTCAAGGTTTGGGGGAACCAAGTGGGAGAAGGCACTGCGTGTCAGGTCCCTGGCAGTGGTGGGATTCAATTTTTTTTACTACCGGTTCTGTGAGTGTGGCTTGGTCGGCGTGGCATGGCTTGTTGGGCGTGGCAGGGGAAGGATACTGCAAAATCCCCATTCCCTTCCCACTTCAGGAGAAGGATACTGTAAAATCCCCATTCCCTCCCCACTCCAGGGGGAGGATACTGTAAAATCCCCATTCCCTCCCCACTCCAGGGGGAGGATACTGTAAAATCTCTATTCCCTCCCCACTCCAGGTGAAGGATACTGTAAAATCCCCATTCCCTCCCCACTCCAGGGGGGGATACTGTAAAATCCCCATTCCCTCCCCACTCCAGGGGGAGGATACTATAAAATCCCCATTCCCTCCCCACTCCAGGGGGAGGATACTGTAAAATCTCTATTCCCTCCCCACTCCAGGTGAAGGATACTGTAAAATCCCCATTCCCTCCCCACTCCAGGGGGAGGATACTGTAAAATCTCTAT